AAAATTTAAAAAAAAAAAAAAAAAAAAAAGAGCGAAAAAGAGCGGGTCACAATTTAGATTCGTATTCCAGGTTCTTTTAGTTTCGTGATATAGACATTGTCAAGTCTGCTGAAGATAATGGAAAAAAATTATTGGCGCATGGAGGCACGTGTGTAAAGATGAAATACTGAAAAATTGAATAAAAATATATGTAGTACTTTTTTTTTAAAGAAAAAATTTTTATTTCAGCGGTGCGTGATTATAATTAATTATATCTCTTTGGAGTTTGCGTCGTTTAAACGTCTATATTTTACATGCGATGTTTTAATGAGATAACGATGCATCCCCCAGGGATGATATCGCTTATGAAAGGCTGTACTCGTAGGTAGTTATGATATAGCAGGGAGCCATTGTTGGTCGTAATCAATTGCAATTCGATGTTATCGCGCAACGTCAAAATCTACTTCGTTGTATTATCTTGATAGCTCTTTAATGATTTTCAAAGGAAGACGAATTATAATAATTATGCAATCTTTTGTCGTATCGCCGAAATAATTAAATAACAACGATATCAGTTTCTCGCGAGATTATCAATATTGATAAGAGAATATGAAAAAATTATTTGACAGAGCCAATTATAATTATCTTATTTTCTTACAATTTGTCTTTTTCCATCGACCGTCTGTTCGCTCGGATCACTCGGAAACTTCATTTCTGACAGTTGGCTGTCAAGAAATCTTCAAGCAAATGTATTCACCTTGGCTTCCATTTATGCACAGAGCGACATAGAAACCATATACATATAGTTAGATACACTAAAGCTCTCGAGCTAAAAGCACTCCTGATCAAGACCCACCTCTGTATCCACACACCTGATATATCATTTCCTATATAGTCTACAATATTGAATGTATATAGCCTGAACTCTAAGACTCACTCCGTGTAATGCTGAAACGTTTCTCGTGTCCCTAAGGGTGCAAATATCTTATCAAGAAAATGCAGTCCAATTCCGATGAATACATTATGGCTAATCGGATTTTCGCGTAATCTGCTCCGACGCAGATATCCTAATCCTCGTGGAAATCATGTTTGGAGAAAAATGATTTTTCGTGGTAATATGAATTTTAATGAGAAAATTCTCAATAACGGTAAATGGCAGAAGGTATTTAGTTGTCAACGTTGCCAACGTAACAAATATTAAATAAATTTTGTCTATTCATTGATGTTATTCAATTGTCACTCTGGTATTCTTGTGGCTCGTGGGAGCCTAGATTGGCGATTTAGCCTTTAATAGTGATAAGCCACAAAGGGGTAGAAGTCAGTGCTTAACCAAACGCACTGACTGGACCATCTTTCCGTTGGTGAGGCTGTGGATCGAGTGGGGTAAGATCATCACCGTGCTCCTGTGCCAGAAGACACGCATGTGTGGATTCATCGGAACCATCAGAGATGAATTGGTTCATGAGTCCGATGGATGCTGAACGTTATGCGATAACCTGTGTGACGTGGTCTATTCCGGAAGGAGGTGGTACGTGGCGATGGCCACTGACTTTGAGATCACCGGGTCCAGGTCTGGCGGTCGAGCATGATCTTTACATATTTTCTGCAAACAAGTCAATCTGTTTAAAGAGAACAATAGGTCACAGCTACAATTACCATATTTGATGAAAACCTTGAATCTTATAGAAATAGTCAATATCTGTATGAAAATATCAGGGCAAATAAAAATACTAAAATAAATTATCGAAAAATTTACATTAAAGCGAGGAAAGGAAAGACAAGTGTTGAGAAGGGGACTAAACCGAAATTTAGTATTAGGCAAGAATTTATGAAGAAACTTTTATTAGCAGTAAATAAGGAGAAGATGATAAATAATGAAGCAAATGAAATATGACTGCGGGGACAGGGAATGATTTTCGTGGAGCTTAACAGCGAGAAGCTCCATTAAAATTTTCGCTTTGGTAAGTGTCGCTACGACAGAGAGAGGGGGAGGGAGGGAGAGAACAGAAGCAAAGCCGAGTGTGCGTATACACGAAAAAAAATGGCCGAGCACTCACAGGACCACTCTCTTTCTTTGGTTCGCTGTAAACTTGCTTGTCCCAAGTACTTTGATGGACTACCTCTTTCTCTCTCACTCTTTTCCTATTTCTCGATCTGCGCACGTGTGCGTCCTGTCTCTGTGTGTCAAAGTACGTGCTTTTCGAATCACAGTACCACCGTCCCTCCTCTCGGTAGCGTCTCCCATTTCCCACCTTGGAAAGTGAGCCGGCGTGTATAAACGTCGACCTCGCCAGACAAGAACAAAGCACGAAAAGCATTTGAGGAAAGCCCTTGTACTTGCAAGCCTCGTTTCGAGAACCACTGAAAGCTTCTCACGATGCACTATCGCCATCGACAGGGTTGTCATATCGATTCCTATAAACCCCCCTGGTAAACACTATATTTTTTTCCCTTCGCAAATGTCAATATCAGGCAACTCTTTTATTTTCAATGCGATCGATTATATCTTTTTTTTTGTGGGCATGAAATGGAGTTAGATTCACGTATTATCTGTATACGCCGGTGTCGTTTTGCCTTTTCGTTTTTTATTGCAAAAATTGATTTTCGACGAACTTCGATACCTCTCACGAGTCGCGCTTGATAGTTTGATTTCTCGCTACATTGGGCATTGCCAGTGCACACGAAATAAATTTCAATGAAAAATGGTATCGGTCTGTTGTTAAAAAGCAGTCTGATGTATTCTGTAGGGTTGATCGAATTTCCTGTAATTTATATTTTTTTTCCACTTACTGTACCGAACTACTACAGGCACAGAAGTTAA